CCCCTGGCCCCCCCCCACCCCGCCGCTCCACGGCAACCGCAACGTAGTGCTGACCAACGGCCCGTCCCTCTACGCCTCGTCGCCCTTTGGCAAGAAACCGGCGCTGAGCCGACCCGACTGCCCCAGCTGCGTGCCCTACGAGCCCCCCACCTTCTTCCTGCAGGAGCCCCCCGAGGAGCTGCACAACGGGGGCGACCGGGTGAGCTACCAGACGGTGAGCCAGGAGGATCTCGACCTGCCGGTGAGCGTGGCCAACCTGCAGGCGCTCAACCCCAACCGGCTCTCAGCCATGCGGGAAGCTTTCTCCCGCAGCCGCAGCATCAGCACCGATGTGTGAGGCGCTGGCTGACCGCCCAGCCCGGAGCATCGCATCACACCTCAACAGGGCTTGTAACAGCGAAGAGAACTTTTGGAAATTCATGGAAGAGTTTTGAAAAAGAAAAAAAAAAACAACAAAAAAGAATGTATTTCTACGTTCTGTAGGCAGAGATGTGCTAAATGGCAATATAAAGGAGTAGCAAAAAAGCAGAAGGGGTTACTGCTGGAGGGAGAAGACGGTTGAAGCTGGGAAGCAAGGTTTTCTAGCACTGCGTTGCATTTTTTTTTTTCCTTTTATAAAGAGGATTTTGATATCGTGCATCCTTTTATACAGAGTAAATGCCCCTCCTCGCCATTCAGCTGGAGCGCCGAGCGATGACAAGCCAGTGATGGTGCACAGCGTTGGCTGCAAAATGCTTCGTGCTGCAAGTCAGCAGGCATCCGTGGCTGTGTGGCAGGGACACGCTGCACCCCACTGCTCCTGGCCGTAGTGTGCACACCCACCCCCCACCATGGTCTCATAGCAGAGCAGGGCTGCTATTGCCCATCCTTCTGCCCCCCGTCCTGCACCACCCCGTTCTGCAGCCACGTGTGTGCATGCCCCTGCCCTGCTCCCGGGCTGTCTCTCTCCTCGAGCTGGTCATGAATTCCCGGGTGACAGGCGCAGTCCCCTCAGGGTTAGGATGGCTGGGGGGGGCACAGCCTGTCCCTGGAGCCCCTGGAGCAGCCTCATGGACCCCCCAGAGGGATGTGGGCTGGAGGGGGTGTTGCAAACCTGTTGCATTACCTGACCATGGAAGCAGCACATGGCACAGTTTGGGATGGAGGAATGTACCTGCAGCCACCCCGTCCGACTGAGGGGTGTCCTGTCTCCAAATAACGCCATATACGATTTCTAACCCAGGTCTCTGCGTCCTGGGCCAGCAAGAGCATGACCGTGTGCGTGCCCACATCCCCCCCCTGCATGCACATTTTAACATGCATTTGGGGTTTTTTTCATTTAAAAAAAAAAATGCCGTGACATTTTCTCCCCATCCAGGAATGTGTCAAAACAATTTAGATTTAGGCAAAGCCCCCTCTTTTGCATTTTTTTACTGTGCCATTTCCCACGGCCAGGCAGCACCAGCTCTGCCCCAGCCCCACCAGCCACCCTGCATCTGGCACAGCAGGCGCAGAGCCGAGCGTGTCCCTCTGCGCTGAACGTGCTGCCAAGGAGCTGTCTGGTTAATTCAGGGCTTTGGGAGGAGGAACCCCACATTGCAGCGGTGTGTCAGGGGGTACTCTCATGCTCTGGTTTCTCCCGGCTGTCTCAATTCCTCCCCTCCAGCCCTGCACCCTCTTTCTCCCGGATTGTGCATTATTCAGGTTAAAAGCGTGGCACTGGGCATGGGGATGGCTGGCTCGACCGCAGCAGAGGATGGACTGGCTGCAAAGAGACTCTAATGGCCTCACCTCCGGGCTCCAGGTCAGCTTTCCTTTTTAAAGACGTGCTGGGAAGAAAGAGCCGCGACTTCAGCCCCGTCGGCTCACAGACACTGTACAGAGCCCAGCTGGATATTTTACTTTTACCGGCGAGGGCTTTTAATTCCACAGGAAGTCTTTTGAAGTACAAGTCAGTCTTTGCAAATTAGTATCTTTGACTTTCTCGGGTGTTTCTGTTTGGGGTGGGGGGGGGTTGGGTTTGGTTTCATATGTGTTTAATATTCTGGGCTTGGTCCCTGCGGTGCCACTGCTCTGGGGGCACGGGGGGTGCTGGGGCCACGCTCCCATGTACAGTTCTCACCGGGGTTTCTATCCACACATCCAGCCCTACTCTTCTTTGCATCTCTCTTGACCATACTCCTCTTCCTCTCTTGTTGTCTTTTTTTCCTTCCCATGTATCTTGGAAACTAAGCAAACGTTGATTTTCACTCACCTTTACCTGGTGGTGGTGTACAGAACTTTGGGAATTGGGGAGGCAGGGGCGGGGGAAGAAAAGAAATAAACTACTTTGACATGGGTTTTGAGGCTGACCTTTTTGTCCCTGCATCTTCAAACCTGGGGCCTCGTGTGCAAAGTTTTCCTGCAGGCGGAGGAGTTTCCCAGCTGCTGAGGGGGGCAATGCAGCAGTGCCTGGGCTGCACCCCCTGCTCCGGGGGATGTTGAAGAGTTGTGCCCACACAAACACGGAGCAATAACCCCCCCTGGGGAGCCTGGAAAGGCACCTTATCAAGCTTTTTGCAAGCTCCTGAGAAGCCTCAGGGTTGCAGTTCCTAAAGCCACACACATAACCCCAAAGGGCCCCAACCCATCCCAAAGTCCCCACTCCCCCGCTGCTGGGACTTCTCCTTCCATCACTGGCCCAGCAGCTGCAATTCCCCCACTTAGAGCTGCTCCCGGCCACCAGCATGTTCACAGCCCCAACTCCAGTGCTCCCAGTACAGAGGACAAACCCCCACTACAAACTGGAGAATAAAACCAGCTACCACCATAAATATGACAACTTTATTAAAATATACATATGAGTACAAATTAATGATTATACGGATAAAGTTCACCGTCTGTAAACAAATATATTAAAAAAGAGCACGTCTTTTTTTGTGATATAAAGTGCAGTTATGTTTCCATATTATATACAATATGTCAGCATTACGGGGGGGCTGTAAGGACTATGGAACTAACATTTGATTATAAGATAAAATTCTCTGAAAAAGTATACACCTACATATTACAAAAAAAAAGGGCTCAAGTTCATTTAGCAACCGACAATCAGCTTCCCACCACGTTACATGCAGCTAACGAGGGCGTGCAGGTCTTGGAGATAAATTCGGAGAAAGGCACCAACCCTCTTTGCAAAGGGAAACTTGCCCTTCAGAGTTCACACCTTCCCATCAGCAACCCCAAACTTGCACAGAGGAAAGAAACCAAAGGATGAGACCTTGTGAAACACGTGCGTGTGTCTGCATTTCAGGGAAATCAAATATACAGGATTTTATGTACAGCTCTGATAACGAGGGCTACCAATGTACAGCGGTAACGGCTTTGCAACCGAGC